GGGCCGTTGTCGTTTCGACTTCGTTTTGCGGTAAAGGCGGGTTCGAGACAATTGCGAAGGAAAACTAACACATAAGGACACCAACGAAAAACACCGTTTAGGTTCAGCCTTGTGGGGCACATGTGAAGAATGCTGTCTAGTGTGGCAAGGATGGCATCGGCAAGGACCCTCGGACGCCGACAGGGATGCTGGAATCGTGGGGTCTCCTCACTCTGGCAAGGATGCAGAAAGTGACCTCATACATGTTACAACGATTGAACTATTGCGTATGCTTGTGTGTGTATTCATGCTCCCCTACTGATCGTTCCATGCCATGCGCCTGCCCTGCCTTTTGTCCTCGAAGAAAGTCGCTCTCTCGCCAATCGCAGCTGTCATGCCGCGCTGTCGGCCAGTGCCCTGAAGCTAAACAATGCAACGACCACTTCATCGCCTGAAATACTGGGTACATAGAACACCAATGCGAACAGCCGCAGTCACAGAGGTCACCAACAATCTCGCAGAAAATGAGACCCCTTTTTCTGGACCCAAGAACGTGGCACGTCACAGCGTAAAACGATTCATGTTTCGTGAAAGGCGTTTTGTCCATGTACAATGCGAGTGGCACGACTTTGGTCCTCTTTTCTGGGCCCAGGCGCTTGACGACTGAATTGTTTTCAAAACTATCGATCCAGGGCCCATCTGCAAACCGCTGTCTCCAGGACTCCAGGATCTCGGGGTTCTTCTTGATTTCATTGAATATGATCTCATGCGGCAGCTGGATGCTGATCTGCTTCGAGGTTCGACAAACATCGTGACGGGACTTGCCTGGGATATTCATGAAATACATGTCCGAATCGTATTTGCCTAACTCGAGAGCTCTATCTAACTTCTTCTGGAAATTCCCGCTGCATACGGGCGACGGGGCTACTTCGAATTGCTGGAGCTCTGGCACTCCAGCTCGATGACCGTAGTACGCGAGTTCTGTGAATGCTTTGGCAGTCATCCTGGCCCCTGTCATATACATGTCCGTGATGTGCGATATCAGCTTGCCTGCATACTCCTGCCTCTGAATCTCATCTGCCCTATGAGACGAAGTTCGCTTCCATGAAGTCCCATCCTCCCAGTCCACGGGCGCTGGGCGCGTGCGGCCGCGCCGGGGAGGCGGGCTTCCCATCGCGACGGGCTGTCCTTGAGAGAGGACGCTGCGAAGACAACGGGCTATGCAATGCAAATTACAAGCAATCGGCGAAATGCACACAGGTTACCAGTCTCGAACGTATCCCTATCCCTAAGATTGACACGCCAAAAGGCGATGACAATATTAGGGATTCGCCATTGAAAAATGAGGGAATCCAAGATTGGCATCGTGATGAGGAGATGCCCAGTATAGGGATAGGGAAATGTTCCAGGCTGGTTAACAGGGACGGACCGCATGCTGTTTCTCGGGCCAAACGCAAACTGCCAGGGTACGTTTTGGAGTAGCCCGTCGTCTCGCCCTCCCACTCGAAGCAGGAAACGGGCTCGGCGGGCGAGAATGAAGACTGGCCTTGGCGAGGCCCCTGCATCGACGCAGCAGGATATCACCAAGCAGATCACTACAGCGCCATAAAACCTTGCACGCACTTGCCCCCTGTGCGAAAGCAGCCCCGAGCGGAAGATGATGCTTCGCTTCGGCATTCGTTGCGTGCGACCCCTTTCGCAGGCAAGTCTTCACGCCGAAAAGCATTGCAGGCTGGACTGGCAGGCTCTTTGGGAACCCACATAACCTCAGGAGCCCTCGGATTTCATTGCTTCCACATCAAATTTGCCAGCGGACGCGCTTCCAGGGGGTCGGAGTACTCGAAATTCATTGCTTCCAAATCAATTTGCCAGCGGACTTGCTTCCAGGGGATCGGAGTCCTCGAATTTCGTTGCTTCCAAATCAAATTTGCCAGCGGACGCGCTTCCAGGGGGTCGGAGTACTCGAAATTCATTGCTTCCAAATCAATTTGCCAGCGGACGCGCTTCCAGGGGGTCGGAGTCCTCGAATTTCATTGCTTCCACATCAAATTTGCCAGCAGACGCGCTTCCAGGGGGTCGGAGTACTCGAAATTCATTGCTACCCCTCTATCCTACCGGTGTTTTCTCTTTGATTTTGTGCTTTTCTGAAACTCATCACAAACTCATCAAAATCGCTCCGAAACTCATCGCGCCTACCGGTGTCATGAAGTCGACTTTATATTGATTTTTTACAGGTAAAACCCAAAACTCATCGCGAAACTCATCACTGGAAACTCATCAGAAACTCATCACTCTGATTTTGTGTTTTTTTTGGATTTCTTGGTTCTCCTTGTGATTTCCTGAAAAATTCCCAGAAATTCTTAAATCTCGCTAGTCGAAGCCTATCCCCGTTGAAACTGCATCGCTGCGTCGGGGCTGCAAAGAAAAAGAGGGTGGCCTGCCATATCACGAGAACTTCCTCTTCTTCGAGATCGCATGCATGTCCGTGAGCCACCCGTGGAAACCAACCAAATCCTCGACCAATGGCTTCATCCTGCCCATCCCCGCTTACCTGTGCCGTCGCCCATCCCCTCAAGTTTCCTCGAGCACTCTAAACTCATCGCAAGCTTATCGAGGCAACTCTGAGAGGCAACGAATCGAGCACCCACAATAACACCCAGAGCACTCTAAACTCATTGGACCCAGTCCGAGCCATTCACTCTCCCAGAGCACCCAGAGCACTCTAAACTCATTGCAAACTCAACGGTGTAACTGTGAAATGCATCAAATCGAGCTCGAAACTCATTAGAACCAATTCAAGACAACCCCTCAAGTTTCCCAGAGCACTCTAAACTCATCGCAAGCTCATCGAGGCATCTTTGAAAGGCAACGAATCGAGCTCCCAGAACACCCAGAGCACTCTAAACTCATCGGACCCAGTCCAAGCTCCCAGAGCACCCAGAGTACTCTAAACTCATTGCAAACTCAACGGGGTAACTGTGAATTTCATCAAATCGAACTCGAAACTCATTAGAATCAATTCAAGACAACTCCTCAAGCTTCCCAGAGCACTCTAAACTCATCGCAAGGCACCGACGGGAATCCGAAGCTAATCAGAAACAACTGCTCAACTATATCTAAAGCGGTTCGCTCGAGACATCCCCTCAATGTTGTTTCGGGAATGCTTTCGGATGACCTCCAAGATGACCCCAGGAGGAGGAGGAGGAGGAGGAGGAGGAGGAGGAGGAGAAAGAGGAGGTGGAGGAGGAGGCGGATCGAAGGAAACGCTTCCTCCTCCTCGGATCCTTCCTGCTCCTCCTCATTCTCCTTCCTCCTCATCCTCCTCCTTGACCAGATCAGCGTTCAGCCTCTGAGTGCCGGCCCCAGCGCGCCAGTGCTCAGTGACACCTCCTCGTCGTCTTCTGTCTTCCCCCTCCTTCTCGTCGTCCTCCTCCCTCCTCCTCCTTCTCTTCCTCCTCCTCCTCCTCCCTCCTCCTCCTCCTCCTCCTCCTCCTCCTCCTCCTCCTCATCCTCGCCAGTCGATGCAAGTGCGGAGATGCAAGCATGCGTCCCTCCCCGTCCCCTCTTCGTTCTGATCTCGGTAAACGCGATGATCATATCCTCGTTGGTGTAGTTCTTCTTGATGGCGGCCATGTTCTCCGTCTGCATGCGGACCATCAAGCTAGGCATCGCGTCGCTGCAGGCCTTCATCTTGGACTTGAGCTGCTCCTGAAATTGCGGCGACTCCTTGAACCAAGCCCAGTCGGCCATGGTCTGCGACGCGCTCTCGAGGGTGGTCAAGCCACACATCGTGGCGTTGTAGGTGGATACGACCTTCTTGGCCTCCGTCTCCGCGAGCTGCAGGCGTTTCCTTTCATCTTTCTTCCTGCGCTCCTCGGGATCATCATCCGTAGCGGCCTTGCCTTTTTGCCCCTTGTTGCCTTTGCCTTTACTTTTCCCTTTGGCGTCCTTCTTGCCCTTGCCCGTGCTCTTGCCCGTGCTGTCTTCTCCGTCGGCGCCAGCGCGCCCGCCCTCATCGCCAGCATCGGTCTCAGGATTAGGCCCAACAGGTGGAGCAAGATCCATGCCATGCGCCTCCGCCTCTGCGTCGCTCTGGTCTTCCTTCTTGACGCGTTTCTCCACGGGCTGAGCTTGGTGTTCTCCATCTGCTTGCCTCTTAGCCGCGGCGCTGGCCTCCATGTCCGAGTAGATGCTCCAGCAGCGCTCCATCTCCTCCTGCTGGCCCTCCTCGAAGTACAGGAATTGGAGTCGATTCCGCATCCCCGACCAGCGCACCCATGGCCCACCCATGGTCAGACAGCAATTGCAATAGTGTTCGGCGGCCGTGATGTTGCTGGGGTCCCAGTAGCCGCCCTCCTCCACCACGATGCGGGCAAAGGAAAAGTAGGTGCCCTTCTTCGTGTCCACCTGGCGATGCGTCTGCGACTTCGTGTACTTTGTCCTCTCAACCTGAAGCTTCTCTGCAGCCCACGCTTTCTTGACTGCCTGCTGCGCTTCGCGGCCCTTGTCCTTGGCGTTCTGGTACTTCTCCCACCACTCTCCTCCTTCTTTCTTGACTCTGTCCCATGACTGGGCCAAAGCCGAGCGAGCAGCGACGCCATGTTTGACAGCATCTTCCAGAATCCTGATCCGCTCTGGCTCCTGCTGCTCGCTCATGCTCTGCTTCTTCGCGGCCTCCGTGAAAAGCTTCTCCTTGAGAGAGATCATCTCCACAGCGGATTTCTTCTCGGGCGTGTCGAACACGGAACCAAAGAGGCTCTCAACAGAGTCTTCGCCATTGGGGTCCTTCTTGAGCTGTGCGTTCAGCTGGGTCAACTCTGCCTGCTGCGTCGGCATCGCCGCGGGTGCCTTAGCTCGGGCGAAGGGAACTATGCACACGCACCGATCCTGGCAAGGCCCATCCTTGACCCAGGATCGGTGCATATACCTTCCTAGCCAAGGTAGGAGGGCGTATGCACCGATCCTGGGCTCAGGATGGGCCTGGCCATAATCGGTGCATGTGCATAGTTATCTTTCCTCTGTTAGCCTTCGCTGGGGCAGACGCAGTGTTCGCCGTGGGAGATGCCCGAGAAGGAGTCGGTGGAGTTGCCGTCGAGGGCGCAGGAGCCAAGCGAGTTGACGTAGCCGTAGCTGATGACGAGGGGGCGCAGCTCGACGGTGAAGGCGCCTTCGAAGCCGCCAGCGCGGGCGTCGTGGAAGGCTTGGCTGGAGCCCTCCCGATGCGCGCCTTCGCCTTGGGCACTGGTGCCACCAGTGTCGCCAGGTATGCCTCTCCTGCCCGCGCAGCATCTTCGAGCTTCTCCACGTACGCATTGTGTGCTCCAGCCACCGCTGCCGTCGCAGAACCTGCATCCTCGAGCTCATTCTCATGATCCTTCTCCTCGGCACGCCCCTCCACCTCAGCTTGCGACGCCGAAGTCCAAGCCGCCGAAGTACACTCCTCAGCTTCAGGTTGCGACTGCGAAACCACCTTGCCCTCCTCATCATCCGTGGCCTCGGATGCCTTATCCGCCGCCTCTTCGAACTCCTTGCTTGGCTCGGCCTCGGCATCGGCTGCCTCCTCGTTGGCCGTCTCCTGCGCCTCCTCCTGCTGTGTTGCCTCGACCTCGGCTGGCTGCTGCCCCAAGACGGGCGTCACATCGATGGCTGCGGCATCGACGGCATCCCACTGCCGTTTGCGCTGCTCAGCGCGTCGCCGCTTCTCCTCAGCTTCATGTGGTTCCATCTGGCGATCCTCGTCAGGGGATCCTGGAATGGTGTTAGGCTGCTCCACGTAGGTATTCGTAGGCAAGCTGTCTTCCGTGAGATCAATCGTATGAGATGGCCGAGGTAGTTGCTGAACGCGCTCGTGGTCGTCGGAGCTGCCAGCTGCGCTGATGCGATGCCCATCATCGGCCTCCATGCCTAACGACTGCACGATATCCTCGATGGGCTTGTCCGAGTAGTCACCGCTTGCAATGCATCCCTTGAGCCCCTCTCGGAGCGTCCCATGGGCCCCTGTGAAAGGCACGATGTCGCGAACCGAGGGGCGAGGTTGCTGGGCCATCGTGCTGTAGTGATCAATCTTGAGCCTGCAAATCGAGGCTCCGGACACACCGACTTGCTCTGTACGTGGACTTCGCGCGTCGCACCACGTGATGCGTCAGGCGCGATTCTCTTCGCGCCCCCTGGTTCTCTCGGACCGTCGGACCCTCGCTCGTCCTAAAATTATGTTTCTCCTCGTCGTCCTCGCCTCCTCCTCTTTCCCATCTGTCTCTTCCTCCACCCTCCTCTTCTAACCCCTCATCCACGTATGCAGAGCTTTACTTGGAGTCCAGGGCCAAAACGAAGTGGATCACCCATTGAACACAGGCCTGGGCAAGTGAAAACCCAACGCATGGCATTTAGACTGATTTATGGTATATGGACGGTTTCTGCGTATAGTTTGTTTGTGAGCCGTTGGAGCTTCCGTGCGTTCAGAGGTTGGTTCAATTAACATGTTTATTCATGGAGGCTTCCGCCACTCCGTCGACTCTGTTCTGTTCGGCTGACAACCGTTGTTTTCTACCTGGACCAGGGGTGGCGGTTTACATCGGGCACGTGATCACGAGCAGGCATGTCTGGCAAGTGCGATGCAACACCTGTCGGGCGCCCACGGCGGCCTCTGCAATCAACTCGAGACGAGAGGCACGGACGCAACCCGCGAACCCGATACATGCGGTGCGAATCTCTCGAGACGCGCGCGTGGCTGCCAGCAGCGAGAGGCAATGTGTACTCCCGATTCCACAACAAAGTGGGGGGGTCACATTCGGGGGGGGGTCTAATGTGAGCTGTCTTGGAGGGTTCGGAGGGGTCTGGGCAAAGGGCCGCCCTTTCATGGATAGCCTGGGGGGTCTAAAACTTCTCGTCTGGGAGGGTTGTGACCCCTTCACTTTCATTACGAAATCTGGAGTAGTTAACACCTCACTCGATGCAATCCCCTCTGTGCGTCCACGCGGCTGCTGCAAGCAGCAACATACGAGAGGCAATGATGTCAAGGGCGGGCCTGATAATGCGATGCAATTCCCTCTAGGCGCCCAGGTGTCTGCAATCGGCTCAACGCGACGGCAAGCAAGGATACAAGGGGCCACATGGAATTGGTTCGACAAGAAAAGCAAACGTGGTAGCATCATTCCCACTTTCACGCACTGGCCGAACGCAGTCGAAGCAAACAATTCAGCCGCTGGCGCATGCAATGCACCTCGAGCGATGGCCTGGATCTCCGCTCTAATGAAGTACAGCCCCTCATTCATCGGCGTCTTCTCCGCTGCCTCCCCCCGTCCCTCGCGCAACTAAAAGGAGAACGCGAGAGAGCGAGAGAGAGAGAGACAGAGAGAGAGAGAGGAGAGATGGGCAGGAGGATGAGGAGGAGGAGGATCCATGCAGAGGAGACGGTGGAGGAGGAGACGGAGGAGGAGAAGGAGGAGAAGGAGGAGGAGGAGGAGGAGGGAGGACGGAGGAGGAAGCTGGATGTGCGCGCAGATGCTCGCTGCCCCTGCCCCTCCGCGTAGCAGAGAGTCCCGCTTCTCGCACAGCTGCTCCTCGGTGATGTCGCCTGCCCCAAGCCCAGCGAGCGGGGGCAAATGCAGGAGTATGCAACAACAACGGATCAGGAGGAGTATATATAGGACCAACAGCAGGAGCATCATCACCAGGAGGAACCCCAGCCCATGCGGGCTCCGTTTGAGTAGAGCGGGGAGGGTGATGTAGAACCCGGAGGAGAGCAGACGGAGGAGGAGGATGGGGAGGGGCAGGACCTTGAGGAGGAGAGGAGGATGAGGATGAGGATGACGAGGAGGATGAGTAGGATCGAGGAGGAGGACGAGGAGGAGGAGGAGGAGAAGGAGGCGGAGGAGGAATGCAGCGGCAACACAGGAAGAAACAGGGCCCCTCCCAGCCCTCCGTTGGCGAACGCCTCGGCCACCCCGATGGCCACCTCCAGGGCTGTCTCGTCGCTGACGTCGTCGTTGATCGTGACCATGAGGAGCTGCTTCTTGGAGCGTGTGTACTGCAATTTGTAGATCATCTTCCTGTCCTCGCAGGGCGGCGATGACATGCTTGTCTGATCCTCCTTCCCCAAATCACCTCTGAGGCCTCCTGGCCCCCACCTACTCCAGGGCAAGGGGAGAGCATTCTAAACTCATTGAACAGAATTCGGGGGCAAGCGTGAAATCAACGGAAAGAAATCGAATGTTTTCGGTATCGTCCTCTCCTCCTCGATCATGATCCTCACCCTCATCATCCCCATCCTCGGAATCCGCCTCGTCCTCCCTCCTCATCCTCACTCCTCCTCCTCCTCCTCCTCCTCCTCCTCCTCCTCCTCCTCATCCTCCTCATTTTCCTCCCTCTTCCCCCGCTCTCTTCTCATCCTCTTCATCCTCCTCCACCCTCTGCAGTCTTCCTCAAGCTTTGCCCTGCGACAGGGTACGGGGGAGGCGGCCGAGGCATGCAGTCCTTGTACTTCTTGACCTCGAGCTCCATCCCATTCACTGGGTGCTTGCCCGTCCAGTCGGCAGGCCTGGCCTTGCCCTTGCAAGAGTCCTGCTTGCCCTTCCGCTTCTTCGAAATGCACTCGAGGTCGTCGACCTTCAGGTTGCTCAGCAGCTGCCAGCCGCAGGACTTGAACTGCGCCCACACCTGGTTCTCCCACGGCTCGAGCTTCGAGCTCCATTCAGGCGCGCATGGTTTGCCTTTCTTGCGGATCTTCCGCGCCCAAGCTTCTAGTTTGGTCTCGTCCCAGCCCACGTCGTACTCATCCTCTGCGGTGATCTCGTCCTCCGCAGGCTTGGGCTCGGTCTTCTTCTTGGGCGCGGGCTTGGGCACGGGCGTGGGCACGGCCTCATCTGCTGGCACGTGTGTGGGTGGTTCTACTGCTTGGGCTGGCGTCGGCTGCTGGCGTGGGCTGGCGTGGGCTGCGCGCCCCATCTGCTCGCCAGACTTGTCATGGGCTGGTGATTTAGTGGTCTTCTTCGGCTCAGGCGTGGCGAACGCGGAGTCGGCTGGCTGCGAAGTGCAACCCAATGCTATGATATCATCTGGAACTTCATCGAATATAGACGGTGGGATCGTGTCGGGGTCCCTGACGCTGTCGACGCTAGAATTCGCCAGGACGGCGCTCGACTTGCTGCTGGCTGCAATCATCATCGCCTTCTCCAGGCACTTGGGGTCCTCAGCTGCAGACGGCTTCCGCTTGAGCGGGCTCGGGTTAGGTTCCGCCGCTGCTGCAGGTCGATTGAGTGCTGCAGATGGCCGTTTCAAGATCGCCGATGCTTCATCGTCATCCTCCACTTCAGCCTCATCATGGGCGCCAGCATCGGGGTCTGAAGCGGCGCCCTCCGCGCCGTCATCGGCGCCAGCGTCATTGGCCAGCCTTTCCTTGAACCACATCGCCCACTTTGGAACTTGACCTCGGCTCATCCGCGAGCGAACGTGTCCGATGGCGTTGAAGAGGCGTCTGTACATAGTTGTCAACCAGTTCTGCTTGGCCTCCGTGGCAAAGGGAAGGCCTCCGTCTTCTCCTCCTCTTTCTCCTCTTCCCCCTCCTTCCCCTCCTCGTTCTTCGCGTCTCCCCTCCATGTCCTCACCGTCCTCTTTTCTCCTCCTCGTATACTACTACTCCTCATACTCCTGCTCCTCCTCCTTCTCCTCCCCCTCCTCCTCTTTTTTCCTCCTCTTCTCTCGCCCGTTCCCCTGCCACCCTCCTCCTGATATGTTGACCCCTTCCCCTGTCCTCTACTCATCCTTCCCCCGCCGCCCGCTCGCGCCTGCTCCCTCATGCCGAAATTCTTCAAACCGTAGATGAGCGACAAGCTCGAGATGCCGAGCTCCTTGTCGTAGTAGCGGCCGTCCAACACTTTGAGCAGCTCGAGCAGCATGTCTTGGGACTCGCGCGGGGAAGGATGGGGGGGGGGCGGAGCGAATGAGCAGGTCGCCAAATCTTTCTCATCGTTCCGACAGTCCGGGTCCCAGGCGAGGGGGGAGCACTTTAAACTCATCGCAAAACCATCGGGGACAGCTTTAAACTCATCGATTTGAACTCGAGATTCATTGGCATACCTTCCTCACGCTCCTCCTCCTCCTCCTCCTCCTCCTCATCTTCCTCCTCCTCCTCCTCCTCCTTCTCCTCCTCCTCCTCCTCCTCCTCCTCGACCTCCTCCTACTCCTCCTCCTCCTCCTCCTCCTCCTCCTCCTCCTCCTCATGTCTTCTCGCCGTCATCCTCGCCCTTCTCATGCCCCGCTTCTCCCTGCCCCCCTTCCTCACCCTCGGCATCACCTCCTGTTCGCCTCCACATCTTTACCCCCATCTTCCTCCTCCTTCTCCTCCTTCCCTCCCCCTTCCCTGCAATCGGGCCTCCTCGATGGCCGACGTATCCAGCTGCACGTCGCGGAACCTCGTGTCATCGCCATACGTGAAGAAGTCCGCCTCCGTGACGAAGGGCATCAGCGCCTGGAGATCCCTCTCCTCCTCCTCCTCCTCCTCCTCCTCCTCCTCCTTCTCCTTCTCCTTCTTCTCCTCCTCCTCCTCCTCTCTCCCTCCCCGACCTCCTCATCCTCCTCCTCGATCCTCTCCTCCACCTCCCCTCCTCTTCCTCCTCCTCCTCCTCCTCCTCCTCCTCCTCCCTCCTCCTCCCTCCCAATCATCATCATCACATCCATCATCCACATCATCATCATCATCATCACCAAACATCATCATCAGCATCATCATCATCATCAACTCAACAGCATAATCCATCATCACCATATCAACATCACATCAGCATCACATCATCATCATCAACCCCCTCCTTCTCCTCATCCCCCCTCCTCCTCCTCCTTCTCCTCTCCTCCTTCTCCTCCTCTATAGTCCTCCCACCGCGGGCCACCTCTCCTCCTCCCCTCCCTCTCGTCCTGCTCCTCCTCCTCCGCATCATCAACATCTTCATCATCCTCCTCCTCCCCCCCTCCTCCTCCTCCTCATCATCATCATCCTCCTCCTCCTCCACCTCCTCCTCCTCCTCCTCCTCCTCCTCCTCCTCCTCCTCCTCCTCCTCCTCCTCCTCCTCCTCCTCCC